GTCGTACAGCACCGCGCTCTGCTCAATCCACCGATCGCGGGCATCTCCTTCCTCGGGCATCTTCTCCTCTCCCATAGCAATTTTCTGTAGCTTGTAGCGCTTGAAGGCGCTCCGCATCCGCCCGCTCCATTCCTCATAGTTGGAGCCATCCAAAGCTTCGATCTTGGATGGTGGCGGTTCACTCCTCTTCTCAGCTACATCTCCACTCCCTTGATTCATCTCCTCTGCTCCCAATCAGAGGTCTCAGCTCCCTCTTTTGCTGGTCACAATGTAGATCCACACAATCTTCACAAGTGTCGGCGCCAACGAAATTTCGGCAGACTTTCCCCTTAGCGGAAGTCACATCCAACCTCCAGAACTCCACTTAGGCACGCCCACAGGCCATGGTGGGTCTAGGAGGGTCTTCACACTTCAGTAGACTCTCCACAAAGTCCTTAATCAGCTCTGATATCACTTGTTAGAGACTAAGGACGGAGTCTACGAAGATTAGGTGCCGAAATTTCTCAAAATCGTTGGCTTAGAATTCTGGACAGAATTTTCGAGTTCACAAGAAACGTCGTCGACGAAAACCCACTGTTGAAACTTCACTAATTTCACATATGTTGTAGCTCTAGTCCGTGGCTACAATTCCCAAATTGAATCGTATAGAAAGGTGAAATAAATCTTGACTTATCAATTTCGGCGCACAGGGGGGTATGCTGCCATAAGAACTTAACTCAATCACAAAGTTCACACAAGTTCACACAAGAGAATTAGAGTAGCACTAAACCAGGTGGAAGGGATGAGGAGGATGAGAGGGAAGGTCCCAAGAGAGTCCCCAACCAAGGAAACCCCATGCCACACAATTCCCTTCCCCATAGGCAACCCAACTTTGACCTTTGTCACTATCCCAACCTCCACTATCCACCTCAACCCAACTTGGCCACACTTGCCAACCTGGTTTGGTTTATCCCAACCATTTGGCAGCATCTACAGTGATGGGTTCGAATTTCCCAACCTCCACAAGTCTGTACCCCATATTGAGTCAATGCCATAACTTTCCAAAGTAGCTGCAACCAAAATATATAAGCATACGAACTCCAATGTTCGTAACTTTCTTGGTTGTGCTCCGATCGCGACGATTCTTGGTTCGTCGGAAAGCTCTTGAGTAGAGGAATCACTTCATATATCTGCTCAAGCCAAATAACATACACACACACACACACATACACACACACACACACACACAGAGCAAATCCAAACCACACAAGACACAAATTTCTTGCACACGCTCACACCACGCATGCAACGCACAAACACATGATGGGAGGCAGACAGACGTGAATGCACATGGTTGCATCACACAACAATCCTCACCGTGACTGCCATGCCATCCTCACCGTGACTGCCATGCCATCCTCACCGTGACTGCCATGCCATCCTCACCCTGACTGCCATGCCATCCTCACCGTGACTGCCATGCCATCCTCACCGTGACTGCCATGCCATCCTCACCGTGACTGCCATGCCATCCTCACCGTGACTGCCATGCCATCCTCACCGTGACTGCCATGCCATCCTCACCGTGACTGCCATGCCATCCGCACCGTGACTGCCATGCCATCCTCACCGTGACTGCCATGCCATCCTCACCGTGACTGCCATGCTATCCTCACCTAAGTTGGTCATTTACGCCACTTGAGGCCACGTACACGTAACGTACGCATACGTTAACGTTTACGTGTACGTACGTGTACGTACGCCGGGCAGGTCAGAAAAAAAAAATCCGCTAGGAATTTCTTTGAAAACGGTTTCCGAAAAAAAAACTAAAAAGGGAAAAACGCTTTCGGCGACCTGTGCTTTGTTAGCGTGGTAGTAAAGCGGCGCGGCGATTCTCTTAGTAGTAGTGTAAGAAATAAGAAGGTTGCTAGTTAGGGTGGCTATGGTGTGGCGACTACCCTGCGTACTACGTCGACGATGTTGCTACGGCTTAGGGTACTACGATAGGTAAGTTTGACGAGAGAGTGAGGAAGGAGGTGGGAGTAGATCCGAATGCGAGTCAAAATTTTCGCGATAGAACATTGCGAACATTTTTACTCGCACTTGCTTCGCTTGCAAAGTAAGCGACTGTCTCTCGCTCGGCAATTTCGTCACCGCCGAGCTTCACTGGTTTCGACGAATCCCAACATCGAGTCAAACAAATTCGCCGAGTCAATTCGTCTATCTACTCTATCTACTTAACCAACACACTCCAACAGATTATACCAGTACTATGGAGTCTCCTACGCAGACCGCTTCCGAGCATCCCGTGTGGCGATGCTTCATTGTTCCCGAGGGCGGAACATCTGATTCTACTGTCAGAATGTTATCTTATGCTCTAGCCTGTAGTGGGGTGCCCTATAGCGAGTACAACCCTTCTAGGGTTTGCTATTTGTATCCTCATTCTTGCTCGTGCAGCCCTCTTCTCTCCTCTAAACTTCCACATGCTATCAGAGCAGGTCGATCCCCTTGGATCGATCTTGTGGGTGGGCTTACCACCTCCTTGCTTCCGCTGCAACTACTACCACTACTCTCTGAGCCGCACGCCCCGTGGCGTTTGGCAGTTTTTCTTCCCGCCGTGCGCCCCGAGGCGCGCGGCGGTTTTCTGCTCGCCGTGCGCCCCGAGGCGCGCGGCGGTTCTCTGCCCGCTGTGCGCCCCGAGGCGCGCGGCGGGCTTCTACCCCGTCGTTCGGCGCGTCGCCCTCTAGAGGCGCCGCGACGGACGACGGGGACCCGCGCATCGCCCCCCGTCGCCCGTCGTGGCCTGCGCGCGGCCCGTACAGTCAGCGCGCGGCCCGTACGGGCTGCGCCAGGCCCGCGCGCGGCCCGTACGGGCTGCGTCAGGCTCGTGCGCTGCCCGTACGGGCTGCGCCAGGCTCGCGCGCGACCCGTACGGGCGGCGCCAGGCCCGCGCGCGGCCCGTACGGACGGCGCCAGGCCCGCGCCCGGCTCGGGCCGCCTGCGCGCGGCTCGGGCGTCTGTACCAGGCCCGTGGTGGGCCCGTTCCTCGCTGCCCCTGCCCTCCTTGCTGTCCCCCAGTGCTTCTACTGGCGCCCCACCCCTCCTACTCCCCATTCTCCTGAATTAGGGTTTGGGGGTGAGGGGTATGGGGGTGACTTCACTTTGTACCGTTCCCTGCTCCTCCTCCTCCTCCTCCGTCTCCTTGTGCTGCAGCTGCCGCTGAGGGGGGGTGGACGTGTTGGAGCCGGTGGAGTGGTACTAAGGGGGGGTGAAGGGGGGGTGGAGCTAGCGGTGTAGCAGCAGGTGTGTGCCAGGGGGAGTGGGATTTGGGGGAAGCTGAATGGAGGTTGCCGTCGTGTCGCCAGCAGCACCTGTAGTCCGGGGAGTTCCTCCGGTAGCCCAGTCGTAGCCAGCTGTGCCAGCCGCCCGTGGGTCCGTTGCTCGTCTGCCGCTACTTTAGCCCGGGGCCAGTTACTCCAGTATTCCGGAGCGTAGTTCCGGTAGCCGCTGTGCCAGTGTGCCTCCTGTTGCCCGTGTGTATGCAGCTTCATCCGTCGCCTCCTATCTCCTCTCCTCTCACTCTCTCTCCTCCTCTTCACTTGCCCGCTGTGACTACCACTAGCTTTGCTCATAATTGTGAACTTTAAACTATTGCTTCTTGAACTTGTGCTCAGAATGTGTGGTGACATTGTGATCCACCCTGAGCTTGTACTACTTTGCGTGCTCTGCTGATTACACCCCACTTTGGCTATGGGGGTGTGTCAGAATGTTATCTTATGCTCTAGCATGTAGTGGGGTGCCCTATAGCGAGTACAACCCTTCTAGGGTTTGCTATTTGTATCCTCATTCTTGCTAGTGCAGCCCTCTTCTCTCTTCTAACTTTCACATCTACGCTAGCTAAGAAATGCAAGCGATGTGGGAAGTCGTGGAAACGGAATGTGGCGCGGGCTCAGGCCCACATTCTCGGAATTCCCGGGAGCAGAATCACGCCATGCGCCTCAGCTACACCTGAGGATAAGGAAAAAATTCGATCTGCGATGGATGATAAGAAGAGGGAATCTGATTCTCGCGAGAAAGCTCAACAGAAAATGTCCGATGCATTCTCGCCATCGTCTACTACGAACACCAAGTCGACGAGCATGGCGGCGAGTGGCTCCAACTTAGCGGAAAGTAGCACAATGGCGCGCAAGAGACAGGCAACGCAGCGTACTCTTATGGATACTCGCCCCAAACCCGTCGACGCGGCGAGTGCGCAACTAGCCATCGCAACGTTTTTCCACGTGTGTCGTATCGCGCCAAATGTTGCGGAGCACGATGCTTTCAAGACGATGCTGAAAAAGGTTGCTGCTGCTGGTACAGGATTTACACCTCCAGGACGATGGCTCATAATGGGAAAATTGTTGGAGGAGTGCAAAGCGAACACCGACGCTGCGTTGAAGGAGGTGAAGGATTCATGGAAGGATGTCGGGGTATGCATCGCGTGTGACGGTTGGACCGACAGCGAAGGACGTCCGCAGCTGAACTTCTTAGTTGTTAATACGATTGCATCTGTTTTTCTTTTTGGGGTGGATTGCGGCACGGAGAAGAAGGGAGCAGAATTCATTGCTGGCCACTTGAAGACGGCAATGGTCATGGTAGGAACGGAGAACGTTGTCGGCCTGCTGATGGACGGTGCGTTCGCGAATGTCAATGCTACCAGCATCATCGCCCGCGAGTACCCAAAAGTTCAGTGGATTCGTTGCGGTGCACATTCTCTTAATCTAATGATGAAGGACATTGGCCAACTCGATTGGGCCAAGGATACCATTGACCGCGCGCAACAGCTAATTACGACGCTGAAGAACGCGCACTGGATTACGGGGGTTCTTCGGAAGGAGAAGGCGCTACAAATCCTAAAACCTGCGGGCACCCGTTTTGGAACAAACTACATCGCCCTCGAACGCCTACAGGCAGTGCGCAAAACTCTCGATAAGCTGGTGTCGAGTGAGGACTGAGAGGAGTACGTCAAGGGGAAGCCGAAAATGAAGGACGCATGGGATACTATTATCGACAAGGAGTTCTGGACGAGCGTTGGGACGGTGCTGGATGTGCTTCGTCCGGTCTACAAGCTGTTGCGGAATGTTGACGGCAATCAGGAGGTGATGGGCAAGATCTATGACAAAATGTTTGTTTTGGAGGACGCGGTGAAGGAGGCGTGTAAGGAGCTGACCGAGGAGGAGAAAGAGGATGTGACCGACATTCTGCGGAATCGGTGGAACAACGACATCAGCTGCGCGCTTCACGTGGTCGGACGGATTCTGTACCCGCCAAACCAATACGAGTCAATATTCGGAACGGACGTGGAGTGTACCAAGATCTTCAAGCAATTCATTCGCAATTACTACAAGGGTGAATTTGTGAAAGTGGGAGGGGTGACGGCGCCACTCGCAACCATCGTCGAAAAAGAGGTCTTGACGTACATCAAGGGGAAGGGAGACATTGGGGAGCAGAAAGCGCGTGATGAGCATGAACTCATCAAAGCTGGGCTTTTGGATTCGGCGCATTGGTGGGAATTCAATGGCACGGACGTGCCACACCTCTCCAAGCTTGCAAAAAGAGTTCTCAAGCAATGCGTCTCGGCCTCCCCGTGCGAGACGAACTGGGCCGTTTGGGAGTCAATCCATACAGCTCGTCGTAATCGCCTTGGAGCGAAACGCCTTGCCGACCTGGTATACGTGAGCCACAACTATCACACAGTGAAGAAGTTGAATGAAGATCTTGCTAAGAAGCTGGTGGTGAGTGGGCTTCCTGTGGTGCAAGTTAAGGAGGAACCTAATGTCAGCTACGGGCATCTCGATGACGACGACATCCTCGATGAGGCATATCTTGATGGCCAGGAAGCGGAAGAGCCTATGGAGTGAGGATGATATGATATTCTGCACGACTCGTGCATGCATGGTGGTTATTTAATTATTTGGGAAATTACGAGGCTGTAATGGAATGTTTACACTATATGACGGAAATCATGATCACGAGGGAGTAATACAGAAAAAATATACATATTCGGGCAGCCCAGAAAACTTTTAACCTGCCCGTACATTAGGCCTCCAACCCAACAGCCGCGTAAACGTGCGTACCCGTACACGTACGTACGTAAACGTAAACGTAAATGACCAACTTAGATCCTCACCATGACTGCCATGCCATCCTCACCGTGACTGCCAGGCCATCCACCATACATGACTGCTAACTATTGCTGTGCCCACACAGTTGACGCACTTCTCTTCGCCACCCTCCTTACCACCAGCAGTTCAGTTCTCCCGGCTGCGGCCGTCATCACCGTTGCCTGTAACAATTTTCAGTAATGATTTTACTCCCCTCATTTTCATCACTAGCCCACCTCTTCCCCCCTTCCCCTCCTACTCTCCCCCACGCCTCCACCCCCCCGTGCCCGCTGAAAGGCTGGAGACGCCAAGCTTCAAGCTGCTGGGCATCATACTCATCATCTCTGTCGGCGTGCTCTGCATAGGTGGGGGGGGGGGGAGGACGAGCGAGGGGGGACGGGAGGGGGTGAGTTTGAGGCGTCTCAAAAGCCGCTTCATGAGGCGCCTCAAAAGCTGAAAGGCTGGAGACGCCAAGCTGCAAGCTGCTGGGCATCATAGTCATCATCTCTGTCGGCGTGCTCTGCATAGGTGGGGGAGGGAGTGGGGAGGAGGGGGGACGAGGGGGAATGGAAGGCGAGGGGGCTGGGAGGGAGGGAAATGCGATGATCATCCGGCATTTTTTTCTACCGATCCTCAATTCTCCTCTTGTATCACTTCCATTTCCCGTGCGCTCCACCCCCTAATGGGCATCACAACGCCGCGCCCATTCCCTTACCTTTTTCCACAATCGTTTTTTTCCACCTTGATTGCAACGCCTGATCCGCGCTTTCGACCTTCCCTGTGCTGTGCCGTATGGTGTGTGGTGTGTGCTGTGCCCACGAGTGGCGTGCGTGTGGTGCTCGCTCCCAGTGGCGGGGGAGACGGAGTTTGAGCTGGTGGGATTCATCCTCGTCATGCTGGCCTCCTTCATGGCGGGCCTCCGATGGGTGCTGCTGCAAGTGCTCCTGCAGTTAAGCCGCCGCTGCTCCCTGCTGCTGGTCCCTGCTGCTGTGTACTGCTATGTGTGCTGTGTACTGCTGTTCTGCTGTGCTGCTGTGTGTGCTGTGTCACCGAATATGCACGGTTGTGCATATAAGGTGCCAGTTATGTTGAGGTGTAGTTGTGGTGTAGCAATGTTGAGTATGAATATTCGAGGGTAGGTAGTTGGGGGACCAGGGAAGTTGACGCGAGGTTGGTAAGAGATCACCAAGGGGGAAATCCACGCGACCAATGTGATTGAACCAACCCAGGCTCGAGCCGCACATTGAGAAATGCACGGTTCGAGCCCAAGCAAGGTAAAGTCACTCTCTCACACATCCCTGATGCTTTCCGTTTGTTATCCTTTCGCATAGTGGAGAGTTGTTACCTTAACTCACAGCTAGGTGGCACACCACTCGGA